AAGAGTTTGTAAGCCGCTCTGAGACAGCTTTGGGTAGTGAAGGGCGGGGTATAAATCCAATCTTCTCCTCCTCTTCCTCCTCCTCCTCCCTTCTTTCTTCTTCCTTCTTCTTCTGACACCCTTGGCCCATGGCAGCCAATGTATTGTCACGTTCTCAAAATTCCAAGTGTTGGGTATTTGTGGGAGGAGGGCTTAGCAAAACTCCCCCCCCGCCCCTTTTCCAAATGTTCATGCTGACATTCGGCCCTGCAGGAGGCTAAAGGTTTTCATTTCCTATCTGCCTCCGTGCGCACATACTTGGGGACTCCTGTGTGTCGCTGTCCAATGTTTAAGTTCCCAGAACAGAACAAGAGCATGGAGTCTTTTTTGTGGATCTGACCGGCGTGAATCATTTCCTGCTCTTTCGCTCTCTCCTTTGCGGCTCGGGTGGATTTGAAAGGGCTGGGCAGGAATCCAGCCACACCGGTGGCTGCTGAAGCTGTATTTTTTCCTGAGCGCAATGGACTGTGGCGGCGTTACCATCGCGAGCCGCTCACCGACCGGGCTTCTGTGTCAAGGGCCGTTGGGTTTCGAGCGCACGACTTTCTCATTGCGTTCAGGTATTTCTGTGTTACTTGGTCAGAACGTGGCGATGCGTCAATTCTGAATGCACTTCTTTGCTCGTTGAGAGCCGACAGACTGTGATGCAGTACGGAATAAGGCCTCTGCTGGGTAGCTGCCAAATCCCAGCGCTTTGGTCCTGCCATTGAAATCACCGCTGTGTTTTCTGTGGCTCTAAATACTTCTCTTGCAGCAAGGATTAGGCGTCAGGCTGGGGGCTTGATCCCGTTCACGCCGGCACTGGAAAGGCACCAAGCACTGCCACTCCGGTCTTATTGCTTTTGGTAGCGGCGCACGGAAGATCAGTGGGCGAGTTTCTGGCGGATCGTTAGTTGCAGATCCTGTGTGGTGAAGTGCAGAATGCTGTGAACTTCCTAAGTACCATCTCTGCCCCCTGAGAAACTGCTCCTAACGTCTGGTGCCCCCGGACGTCCAGTCAATGCAGGCCCCCCTCCCTCAAATTAGCAACTCATGCGCCTTGGCATTGAGTCATGCCGGCCACATGACTACAGAAAAGTCTTCGGACAGCGCTGGTTCTTCGGCTTGGAAACGGCGATGAGCACCGCAATCCCTAGAGTCGGACTCGACTGGCTTTCGAGCAAGGGAAACCTCAGTGCCCCAAAGGCACTTTCCGTGTGCTCGCGCAGTTGTCTTTATCCCAGATACAGTAGAGAAAACATTGACTGCGGAAGTGTAAAATGGCACCCCACTGGGGAGGTTCTTGATCAGTGTTCTCTCTGAGCTGAGTCAGTGTGAGCTAGCTCACAGTTTCTTAGCCTCCGGCTCGCCCATTTTTGTCTCAGCTCAGGAAGGAGGGCTCCAGAGCAAACTGATTTATGCAGTAGCCCAATGGCTCGCTCACAACTTGAATGCCAGTGGCTCACAAAGTAGAAATTTGGCTCACAGGACTCCACAGCTTAGAAGGAGCATTGTTCTCGATGTAGTCCCAGGTGCCTTATCTTGCATCGGAGTGGTGAGAGGGGCTGTTGTCCCTCCTGTTTTCCACCTTTGCCTGGCGAGCAGGTGATCCCAAACCGCGTCTGCCGCACACACGCTTGCGTGGAGAGAAGGAGAGAGTGAATGGCAGCGGCACCCCAAGTGAATGGGGGTCCTTTCCATTCAGAACCTTAAAAAGGTTAGTCAAGAATAGAAGAGGGCCAGCTCTAAAAATCTAATTATGAAACATACAAAAATATACATATATTTATTGAACACGAATTAAAACAACAAATAAGGGCCCATTCATACCTCATATACCGATATAAAAATACAAAAATACAAAGGCTGATAAAATAGACCTAACGCGTTTCGGCCTTCACAGGCCTTCCTCAGAGGTCTAATACAAATAGAACATGTTGGCTAATATGTAAAAACAAGGAGCGGGACCCGCGATACTCACCGGGGGGGGGGAGAGGGAGCTCCACAGGCAGACGAGGAAGCAGCAGCAGGAGGTAAGTTCCCCCCCATCCCGCCGGTTCCCCCGTCTCCTCCACCCCCCCGGCTCGATCTCCCCCCCTTGTCTCCGAAGCTTCTCTCCCCCCCCCCAGCTCTGAAGCTGGCGAGCGGGAGGGGAAGACT